AAATTTGAGACTGGTCAAAAGAATTGGTATTCATCCCGTACGACACGCCCGACCACCAAGCCGCTTTGCACGAAGACGTCGCCGAGCCGTCGCTCCCTTCTTGTGGCTGAAGACATCGCTCGATCGCGCAAACGTCAAGCGCGACGTGTCTACTTCGAGTTGAATATGCACGCGTACGGTTTCTTTACTAGGTGAGAATGTCGCCAATGCGTGGTGCATCCCGACTTCGACCCGGGAGTGCTTTTGCTACAAGAAAATCGGCAGCAAACTTTTCAACTTACAGTTTATCGGCTGAATTATTACTAAGGAAAGAGATCTCCCAGTTTTGATATGCCCCAGTAGCTCAGTGGGAAAGACGTCCCCTTCACGCGCGGTAGGACCGAGTTCGATCCCCCTTGAAACCTTTTTTCTTTTTTTCTCAAATATTTTCTGATGTCTACATTTTTTTAAATTATTACTGATGAAACAAAAATAAAAAAATATATACGAAATAAATGTTGTGGACGACACGTCGCTGAATTAAATGGTATGGGATTTCCTTTTTGACACCTGCGAACTCAATGTAATCACTTTCCACAAAATGCAAGGAGCATATAAATCAGGTAGCGTCCGCTTTCCGAGGTGCCCGTGTATGTTCTACAGGAATCGCAGCCAGCCATTGGTCCCGATCCCGTTGATCTTTCGGAAACTCTGTCGCACAATGCCACTTCTGTTTCGGACGCGGGACATGTGAGCCAGCTCTTCACGCAACATCTTGGGTGTATTCTTTTCGGAGCCGATCAAAATTCACCATGGGCACTCACTACTCATCTCCAACTCCTCAATGTACAAAACAACTCATCTTGGAGTACAGAACAACGAGCGGAACATACATAACTGCAAAAGAATCCTACGGCGAACAGTTCCCATACGCCGCATGTCGTCTGCTACCGGGAAGGAAAAAAAAAAAAAAAAACACATGGTCGGGTGTAGCCACGTGACTTCCGCCACTCACTCTCTTCTCTCCACTTCTCCGACCTCCGTCGGGTTTCGGTTTCGGTTTCGAGCAGTTGCGTCTTTTGACTTTATTAAAAAATATGCTACTCTGTTTCAAAATATTAATTGGGTAGTCCTCCGACACCATAATGAAGCGCCTGGCAAAAAATTAAAAAAAAATTTTGGGGGGTGTCAGTGTCCCTTTAAACGAGCCCTACGTAGGAAACTGCATGTACACAGGTTGTCTAGGGGGTCTCACGCAGGCAATGCACGAGAGAAATACCGAAAATGCAGGTCGCTGGCCAAACGTCTTACCAATCGTCACAGAAATATATACCATTCCTTTGTCCAGCAAAAGGTGCACCTTCTGCTGGACAAATGAATGGTGTACCTTTCCAGCAAATTGGAATGGATTTGCTGGGACCTTTTCTACTATCGACGATGGGGAACCGCTAGATAATCGTCACCACAGATTATCTTACTCGTTACGCCAAGACGAAGACCCTTCCGTCGGGGACTGCTGTCGAAGTCGCCAAGTTTTTCACCGAGTCCATCGTCCTCCGGCATGGCGCTCCTAAAGTCCTGATCACAGACAGAGGGTCATCGTTTATGACACAGTTGACCCAAAAGATCCTTCGTCTAAGCCACACGGACCACCGTACAACAACTGCATACCATCCGCAGACCAACGCGTTGACGGAGCGGTTCAACAGAGCAATCGCCGACATGGGCTCTATGTACGTCGACGTGGAGCACAAGGCCTGGGAGGAAGTGCTGCCCTACGTCACGTTTGCATACAACACGGCAGTGCAAGAGACGACAGGAGTGACGCCCTTCCAGGTGGTCAATGGCAGGACGGTGACGACTATGCTAGACTCCATGTTGCCATACGAGCCAGTCGACGACGAGAGCGACGACGCCCAGGTGGTTGCTCAACGGGGCAGAAGAGGTCCGCCACTTAGCCAGACTACGGATTCAAGACCAGCAACATGTCGACGACGGCCGCAACAATCTTCGCCGGCGTGACGTCCACTTTCATTCCGGGGACAGAGTATGGGTGTGGACACCGATTCGGCGACGTGGGCTCAGCAAGAAGCTTCTCAAGCGCAACTTTGGACCCTACAAGGTGCTGTCTTGGAAACTTAAACTACGAGGTGCTTCCCGACGGAACTTGACTATCAAGACGACGCCAGCCGCGACACGAAGTAGTCCACGTCGTGCGCCTCAAGCCGTATTACGAACGATAGAACCTTGGACTCTCGTCAAAGTGTGAACTGTGAACTGTGGCTCGCGATTCTGCTGTCCTTTTGTTCTGGATCTGTCTTTTCGGTCTGTGCTGCATCGGGACGATGCACTGTTAAAGAGGGGGGGGGGGGGGGGCGGGGGGGGGGGGGGATAATGCCGCGCGCAGGGCCCAAAAAGCAACGCTCGGTCACGGAATTTAGTAGGCTTCTGAGCGTTGGTAGCCAGTAAAAAAAATTCAAATTTGGTGTGGTACGGTGTCTAACGCTTTCTGGATGTCCATTGATACTACGACTCTCATCTGTTCACTAGGTGTGTTCATATTTACTATGTCTTTCTAGGTCATTAGTAGAGCGTGTGGCATACTGGTCTTTGTTGTCTTTAAAACATTAAGCAATGTTTTATAGTCAAATATTTAGGGAAATGCCTCAACTTTCTGATATGTTGGATCAAAAAAATAGTTGGCAGGACTGGTTTTACTTGCGGTAAGTGATTGCTTCAGTTCTAATATATTTATCACGCCTGTAAGAGTAAGCCTGGTCTGACATGCCCGTGAGTGTCAGCACGACTTTCTCTTGGAGGGGGGCAAAACTGACATTATTTTTGGGGAGAGGGAAGGGAAAGGGGGTAATATTTTATACGCAGATTGTTAAATATTCATACTCCAAAACATTGCAGCATGTTGCCCAGAAAACCTTTTACATTATCCATACATTCTTAGTACATCGCGATTTCAAATTAATCCATGGATTCCGCATTGCCGCTGATCTACAGGCTGACTCATCACCTACAAACCTAAGTGCCAATAGGTAAATCTAAACATTTACTCAGAAACCTTGTGATAACTGAAGGAAGACAAAGTGAACTATAGCCACTTGTACAAGGAGAGTTACTCATTGCCTTTTGTACCTTTAGCGGCCATGTTTGCCTGTGGTAACTCAAATGCAAAGGCAGTCTGACATTATGTGAATAAGCTCTATGTATTTTAGCAGACCCCTCACTAAATTAAATTACGGATGAATTTTCTGGGTTCACTTTCGCCAAAGAATTTCTCCGTAAAAGGGAACTGAATTTTTTACACTGTATAGCGCGATCTTTGTTCGTTTTTATCCTGCATTCTTCTACCGGTACTTTTTCCTTGTAGAATTTCAGCCACCTTGACTCTCGCAGGGAATTGACCTTTTTCATGGTTCGGCCACGATCGTGGCGCGCCCTCGCGGGTATCGCTCGAAACACTTTTGGTGGCTCTGGCACCGTCTCTCCGTCGTCCGCGCCAGGCCTGGCGTGCCTCCCGGTCCATGTGTTTACATGTCTCCTCTGGTGGCGTTGTTCCGTCTTTCCCCATTATGAACGTGTCTTTCTGTCTTCGTTTGGCGTGCATATTTTCTTCGAAATGGCTGAGAACGACCTGGATGATTAACAAAAGCTACTGTCTACGATACAGAGGACCTCGTTCGTTTTTACACCTTTAGGGTGCATAGACATCCGACGCTGCGTCAGTTTCTACCATCGACTCGGAGCCACTTAATTGTCACTTCGGTATCGAGGCTTGCAATTGGCTACTAAAAGAGGGGTCCGCTTTCAAGGCAGAGTCTTAGAGTGTTATGTAAGGAAAGTATTGGTGACCAGTTTCGGTACCGACCCAACCATCTGCCCTGTGCGGAGCTTGTGAGCCCCGTTTATAAGGCCCGGCCACTACAAACAGCTGATTTTCCTCCCCTTGGTTGCTTAAGTTATTCGAGCTTATTGCGTCCGTCACTTAGCCGTCCTGTGTACCGCGTGAACGCACGAGCATCACCGTATTCGGGAATTTGTAAACAAACTAGGGCGGTGTGAAATCCGGGCGGTCTTGATATCGCGAAGGCTCGCCGGCACCAACAAAAAGTAAGGAAAGGTACGTTATAAACAATCTCTCTTTAAATTCAACACGTTTACGAACCTTCGACAAAGTGAGCCCAGCAAACAAAGGAGTTCACGGTTGCTTGCCAAGGCATTCCATCAGGGTTCTGTCTCCGTGAAGCTTAAATTCGTTTCCCACGCTTTAAATGTTTTTCCTGCGACTGATATTTTTATCTGTTTTTTCTTCTCTTTTCACATGGCAAGACGCGAATGTCTATAGCACACGCCTGAAAGACGGAAACCTTTATCGTGTTATTCTTTACTTGAGTGCCGTGTATGGCGTGACTACGTCACACAACCTCGCGTGCACATTTACTATTAACGGGAAAATAGTGGAGAGTGTAGGCGAGCTGGTGTAAGTTGAACATGGTGGTAAACTTGATATACGAATATGCATCAAGGACAAGGGCGGAAACAGGACTTTTTTTGAGAAGTCCTGTGTCCTTGATCTTTTATCCTTTCATGTATTCGT